GGAGTAATACTCTCTCTCTCTCTCTCTCTCTCTCTCTCTTGAGAAAGAGGGATTAATCTCTTCTCTCTCTCTCTCTCTCGAGAGAGAAAGCTCGGCTCGGGAGAGGGTTTTCGCTCTTTCCGCTCCCCCCGCGCTGGGCATCCTCTCGCGTTCTCGAGGTCGCGTCGCGTTCCCGCGGAATTTCGAGTGTCGCGACCTTGGTGGTGGAAAATTCAAGGTCAATGGCGGAAGCAACGCGGCCGCGCAGTCGCGTGGCGAGACGGAACGTTATGGTGGCCGACGTGGTGTCGCGCGCGTTTATATATGTATATATATATGTATAATATGGGACCGATCGTCTCGATTCGAGCGCGATGGATCGCGCTTTTCGACTTTGTTCTTAGAGAGGAAGCGTTTTCCATCCCCTCGACTCGATCTCGCGTCGAATCGAGATGGAAACAGGGAGAAAACACGCGCGATGTGATGTGGGGGAAAATTTAACAGTCGAATAAAGTTAGTTCGATACTTTAGTGTTCGTAATAACAATAATAATAATAATAATAATAATAATAATCGAGGTTGTACGAAAAATCGGATTCAACGATAAATGTTATTGTTCGAGCGTATCAATGGATGGAGTAATTTTATCCAAAGTGATCTTTTTTACTAGAGAAAGTTACTAACCGGTTACTTTTTCTCGATACGGGTTAACGGCCAACCGTCTGGCTTCCCGTCCCGACTGCTGCATCGGATGCGGCCGTGGTTGGTCTCCTTTAAGGTGGCGCGTCACTTTTCGTGCTTGAATTTTTTCCACGACCCGGTTCTCCCGTTTCAAATACCACCAAAGTGACGCGACGACGAGTATTCCTCGACGACGTTCTCGTTCACCTTCGTCCAAACGGAGGAAAGAGACGAGTCAACTAGACGACCGTCGTTTTAACGCATGTTTTCTTTCACGTTGCGCAAACCTCGTCCGATCAATTTTCCACGAAGGTGCGGAGGAAAATCTGAAATTTCCTCCTAATTTTCCATCGTTTTCATCGATCATCCTCGTATATTTTCCTCCGTTTCGTCCAACGTATTTTTAATCGAGCTTCAAGGTCCAAGATGAAGAAATACGGAAAAAGATTCGAAAAAGATTCGTTTTCTTTTTTTCCTCTCCGATCGCAACACATCATATTCTTGCTAAATCGCGTTTTTCCCCTCCGCACATGTGTCCAATATATCCCGAGATCGATTCGAGGAAAAGTGTCGTTTACTCGAAAATCTCGAGATCGTTTCGACCGACATTCCCCACTTTTCGTCTTCGACGAAATGCTCGTTTGCGCGCGTATACGCGAATCGATTCAACAATTGACCGACCTGGTTTATCAACTGGTCTTATCGTAGCTCGAAAAATATATATATATATACACTTATATTTTACAATCGAATCTTCGAATCGACCGAGTTCCCCCCCCTCCCGAATATTCGGAATATTCATTCCGAAAACGGCGAATCGTTGTAAAGCTTGGAGAAAAAACAAAGTTTTCTAATCGTTTCCAACGATCGCAAATAATTAATTATACAAGCGAGCGTAATTCTAATCACCGTTCAGCCCGATCGGATGTTTACGACCGAGAACGAGGAAACCCAGCCGCATGCAAACCCCGAGAGCCGGCGTTATCTCGAGCGTATAAAAGAGAGACTCTTTCGACAGGTGGCTTCAGTAATTCGTACTCGTGCGAGGCCGATCGCTGCGCCTTTCGTTTCCAACGTCGTGAACGTTCTCCTCTCGCTGCCGTGCGTGCACCACCACCACCACCACCACCCTCTCCGCACGAACCTACGCGCCCTCCCCACGTTCGACGCGCTTCGACACCCCAACCCCCTCCACCTGGAACAGACCCTCGGATTCGTTTGCTTTGGATCAACACCACGCGCGATACGTGGGACCACGCGTGTGCATTTTCAACCCGCATAGTGAAGCCTAGTGAAGTTGCGAGGGACACTTATGAAGGGGTCCGTCAACGCACCGAGGCCTATCGTTGATCAGAACAGATACATTTGGGATAACGATTGGAAGCAGTAGAGCTTGGTACAAGGTACGTGATACGAATATCTCTCTCTCGCGTTTCCTCGTCAACGATTGATCCGCGTTGTCGAATCTACGATTACGGAGAAAAATATCGAGTTTTTGTCGACGAAACGGGTCGGTCGGAATAGGGATATATATATATATATGTATATATATATATAGGCCGAAATATAATGGAGGTGAACGAAAAGGGGGGAGGGGGAAAGAAGAGGAAAAAAAGAAAAAAGAAAAAATAAGAGAACAAAAATTTTCGTCGATTCGAAAAATTTTCGAGTATAAGTGAAACTGATTAATTTTCGATTAGATTATAAGTGGACTATCGATAAAAGGTTATTCTACGCGTGAAAGTAAACATAAAATATAAGAATACAATTTTATCATTGTTTAGAAAATCGAGATTATATATACGAACGTTATTATACACCGCGAAGAAAGTTAATTTTCGAACGAAATCTTACAATTTTTTTTTTTGTCCATTTTCACACATACATATATATACATACACATATATATATATATACAGAACAATCTCTTATCGATAATCCATTCGTATCCAATTAGGAATTAGCCAATTTTCTTTTTCTCACTTTTTCGCAGAGAAATTATAATATCTTTGTCCCACATATTATATTATTCGATAAGCTGTTCCGACGTGTACAACAGGTAGCGATTGTTTGAAAAGCATCGCTATCGTTTTATTTTTACACAACGGTGGAGAGATGTATATATATATATGTATATACGATAGATGCGGTTTCCAGAAATTAGGAGCGTTTCGAAACGGGATGACGGGATAATGCATTTCCTTGCCTCGTTTCACAATGATTAATCACCGATGATGCCCTTGCAACCGTCTGGAATACCAATCGGCCGGTGGAAACACCGATTCGTGCAAAGAGTATGAAACGTGTATCGAGTAGTAGACGCAACAGTAGGATCGATCTCGACCTGTGTATACGATCGTCCGTGTTGTATATGATCCTACCGTGTTTCCTTCGATCCCTCGCCTTGATCTCTCGCCACCCACGGTAGTGTGTGCGCGCGTGTGTCTGTGTGTATGTGTATATCTTGGCGCAACGTTTCTCCCTCCATCAATTTTCAACTCGAGAGAAGTAAATACGTTGTTGTTTCTCTTGTTGTTTCTCTCGCGAGACGAAAAAGTCGATGAACCCGAGCGAGAGGTAAACGACCATTGAAAGGGAACAGAGGATGAAACCTCTCTCGTCGACTTGATCCTATTTAAAAGTCGGAATCGATGGACCCACCAGTCCCTCCATGGTTTCGCGACCTTTCGTTCCGCGTAAACTTGTTGCCGCGCAAAATGGCGCATGCCATTCCGGGGAGAGGAACACCACGTGCATCAACGGTTGTCGTAAATCGAGTCTCGATTCTTTTCCGCGCCAATTCTTTCCAACCGATATTTCGTATTCGTTTCTCCGAGAATCGATCGATTTTCAACTCGAATCGAATAATGATAATAATAATAATAACTCCCATCAAATCGACTCTTCCCTCCTCCGACTATTACCAATCGGATTTTTTCTCTTTTTTTCGTTTCCTTTTCTCCTCCTTCTCCTCCTCCTCTTCTTTTTTCCCCCCCTCTTCGCTCGAAACGTTTCGAAATGGACGGAATCGAAGTTTGAAAAATTCAAACGAATCTCTCGGATGGCGGCCAGACGTCTATATAGCTCTTGGTTGCTTTCAAAATAATCTTGGTACCGTTTATCAAAGCTCGGAAACTGGCACAAGGATAGAGAGTTCTAGTAGGATAGAGTCGTGCACGTTGACCTACATGGATCGAGAAGTCGAATGGACGATCCACCAATTTTTCCCTCTTCCCTGCGAATTTCTATTAATCTTTATTTCCCCCTCGTCATCTTATTTTCTCTACTACAGGATGGTGCCGTGATACGAGTAAAAGATTCGGGAGGGGAATTTATCGAAATAGGAGGGAAAATTAAGATTAAACGAAGCTTAACCGCACGGTTTTTCAAATCAAATCTGAAAGTAGTTCGAAGCGGAGAAGAAGAAGAAGAAGAAGAAGAAGAAGAAGCGAGATCGATAAATTCTCCGTAACTCGCGCCAGCGAACTGTTGCTAATAATTTATTCCAAATATGAAAATAAGCAAAAAAAAAGAAAAAAAAAAAAGATGGAAAATAAATTCTGTTCGATTAAAAATTAATTTCGAGGGGATCGAATTTAAAAATTCATCGATCGCGTTCAATTTGACAACAATAGAGCGATCATTTATTGATATCCAATCAAAATTTAGCCGATCTTACTCGCTTGTATGAAAAAAAAAAAAAAAAAAGAAAAAACTGTTCGAACAATTTGCGATTTGATTCACTCGGAAACGAAAAGCTTCGTACGAACGAAATTTTCTTCCGATATTTTTCTCCTATTTCGAGACGAAGAAGAATCTGCCTGACCTCGTTCGTATCATGAATTACAGGCCGCGCCATTCCACCAACGAGAATGAAGTCTAACCAGGTGTGTTGCTTCGACGTTATTATCGCACTCGAAATAAACTTTGCCGATCCGTTATTAGTTTTATGGAGGTAAATTGGCCGACTGCCAAATAGTAGCCTCTCTCTGTCTACATTTATACCGGATGGAAACACTGTTTCATTTCGTGATCGAGAAGACACGACACGACAGTTTTCACGACGACGAGTGCCACGACGCTTAAAATTTGGGATAAGATTTCATCATCGAATATATATATATATATATATATACACATTTTCTCGAGGAGATTTACGAATCAACGATCGATATCGAGACGCAGTCAGAAATATTTCCTAATGTTCTTTCTCTCTCATCTTTTCCACGTTTTATCCATGATTTTTTTTTTTTTCACCAACGACGAATTGACGTTCGATCGAAATTATTTCTCTCTTTTCCTCGTTCCTTTATTTATTTTGGTTTTGATAAAAATCGAGCGAGGGGATCAAGATTCTATCGAGTCGCATTATCGAGTGAATGAAAATAGAATACAATTTCTGTATTTATCTGTCGAGTGGAGTGTGGACGGACATTCTTCGCGCGTCTTTTTCTTTTCTTCTTCTTCTTCTTCTTCTTTTTTTTTAATCGAATCGAATGATTACGTAACGCGAGGTTGGGAATTTTCGAACTTCACGGCAGATTTCGGACGCACTTGTAAATTAGGCGTGTGGGAAATCGGCGACTGCTTATGTAATACGTAGTATCGCAGCCAGACTTTTCATCGGTTCTTATCGTAACTGTAATATACAATAGATTATGAGATCGTTCGATTGTATAATTGGCGCCGTTTCTTTTGTCCCCATTTACAATTTTTTTTTTTTCTTTTTCTTTATTTCCAATAGTCAATATCAATTTTTTTCGATAAATAATTGTTTATTCCGTCGCGCACTGTCAGACTTTTATTTATTTATTTATGGGCATAAATCGTTTGATATCAAATGTATTTATAGTATAAAATTAGATATATCAAGTTGATCTTTCCGAGAAAAATATCTATCGTTTTTTTCACCTGAAATTCAAGTGATTCGAATTTGAACCGAATCACGCGTTAACGCTTTGTCTTTTCAAAAATATATACATTTATATATGTCGAGAAATACGTTGACGTATCGATGCAAGCATTTAATAATCGGCCGTTTTATCGCACGATTCCACGAAACTGCCTCCACCACTATCTTTGACACGATCGTGGAAAATCTGCTGACGTTCTCTCGGATACACAAACACTTTTGTGTTTGTCAATACAAACAACGAACCCGCAACAGTCTCGTCGATGATAACGAGTCAATCTCTTTCCGCCATCTTCGTTGTCGTCGGTTATTCGAAATTGAACCGAATCGAAAGACGATCCCTCATCTCGATCGATGGTTTTCACCCAACGAATCCAATCGATGGCGAAAAAAAAAAAAAGAAAATCGTTGTTAGAGATAAAACAATCGGATCAAAGATCCCAATTCATGTCGAATCTATTTCTAGCTTCCACTAATCCGTCCAAAGTTCCAAAGCGGCGGTGTACTTTACGATTACCGTGACTTTACCAACCGAGTTGTATCTTCCTCTTCCTCCGTATTCAGCAAACACGTGTCCTCCTCTTCCTCGCTGGTATCACAGTGCCCGTGGGTAAACGAAGATGATTCGCAGTTATCGTCCAAGATTCGTTCCCCGCGCGAACGATTGCATCATCGATCGTGCAATCATCTCCAACGCGAACCCCGGAACCTGCCTGTTCGCTCTTGTTTGACCAGAGATTTACCTATGGATCTAGATATCGAGGCCCTCTTATCGCGAACGAATGCCGCCGTGTGTCACCGTGGACCCCCCCCAAGTCGCGGATTCTTCCAGAAATAACGCGATATCAATCGAGATTACGTTATAAACGTCTCGAGCAAACAATGTTTAACCCTTTCGGCCGACTATGGTCGCTCTGCATAAGATCGTACGATTCGAGTTATCTTTCTCCCGAAACGTATCGATATTTTGTTTTTGTCGTCAATTTCTTTTTCTCAACAAACAACGTCAAAGAAACTCGAATTGCAGCGAGATATAAACGCTGACGATCTTTCATCGTGCACATTTTTGCCGCGGCGGAGAAGTAGCGAAAGGGTTGAGCAAAGGGCGATGAAGCGAAATAAGACGAAACGAAAATCGTCCGTCGAAACTGGATTTATCGAACGCTTTCGTCCGCAAGTTCGTTCTTAATAATTGATTGACAGGCTCCTTCAGTCGATTGTTAATAACTCTAATGGCTAGATATAGGATGAGATCAACGCGAAAGGCAAAGAGAGAGAGAGAGAGAGAGAGAGGAGGAGATATGGCCATGCTCCGTTAGTGTCATCATAGAGTGTTTGGATCGCGAAATTACCAATTGGATTTTCGAGGCGTGCACGTACGCGTGAATAGGAAGGGCGGTTTGGTGGAATCGAAGAACAAAGGAAGAGAAAATTCGATTGGAGGTGATGAGAGGAGGGGAGCTCGTTACCATCGGCGGCGAAATTCAACCGGGTGATCGGAGGAGGCGGGAAACGAGCGGAGATTTTCGCGGCGACGTTCCGTGTTGATTCGTGTAACAGCGTTAAACTCGAAACTCCCTTAACTGGATTGGACGGTCGACGAGCCGCGGATAGTTAGCGGCAGCTGTTGCGCAAAGGATTGCCAACCTCCCCCTCCGTCTCCTCGCAACATCCCCGCCCGCTTTAATCTCCTTTGTTACGCGAATTCCCCCCGCACATCCACTTTAACGATGAAATTCCCATGAAACGCGACCCCCTCCCCGTCCAATTATCCTCGCTCTTCGACTTTTTTTACGCCCCTATTTTTTCTTTTCTTTTCCTTTTTTTTTTTTAATTTTTTTCAAATCCTCTCTTTCTTCGATTTGGCGGAACTATTTGGAGGGGGGGAAATTGGACGAGATCGACGAAACACTCGGATGCTTCGACGAAACTCGGTTGGGATTATTTCGTGTCGGTCAAATAAGAAAATTGTGCATGGGTGCGTGTGTTTTTCCAAACTTGTCCCGTCGAGATCAATGAAAATTTCTCGATGAAAAGGATAAAGAAAGAAAGAAAGAAAGAAAGAAAAAAGAATTAGAGCAGAGTTCGTTTGCATGGACGAGTGATTCGTTTATGTTTCGCGTCGTTCCGTTTATCGTTCAGAATTTCCAGATATTATCTGCTTTTGGACGTAATCGCTCGTTTCGTCCGAAATTAAACAAAATGATTCAACGAAGGCGTATCACGATTATCGATTAGATTAGGGAGATCATCGGTCAACGGATCCACTTTCAACGTCGGAAACTTGATTTTTCTCATTTCTTTCTTTCTTTTCTTTTCTTTTTCCACTCGTCGAGAAAGGAGATACGAGGAGCATGGTGGAAAGAGCGTCGCGAGAAGTTGCGATTGGCAATTCTCTACGGCGGAATTAATTTTTACGAGGGGATTAAACCGATCGAAGTGAGACACAGACAGGAGAATCTACGCTCTCGCGGAAGATCTTTCCATTTGCCAACGATACGAAAACTTTTTCTCGTCGAATTTCCAATTTCCAAGAAATTTCTTCTCCTCCGCATCTTCGCTCATCCCGGCAAAAATCCCAACAAATACACGATACGCGGCTCGATTGGATCAAAAACCATCGATCGACGCGACCGAGTATAGCAACAAACACGAAATTTCCAATCGTTGTTGCGTACTCTCGCTCACAAAATTTACTTCCTTGAAGAAGAGAGATGTTCACCCTCTCCCCCTTTTTTTTTGTTACGCCACTTTGACGCTAGAAAATGTTCGGCGCTTTCCGTTCCGGCAATTCGAATCGTTGAAAGCGTGGTGGAACAACGAGACGATTGTAAACACACCGTGTGTTTGCGTTCCTCGACGGTTGAAACGTCAAGGAACACGTCGTTTCCGATCCTCCTCCTCCTCCTCCTCCTCCCTTTGTTTTCTCTCGAGAATCGAAGACAATGGTACCTAATGGTATTCCGAGATGCTAAAAAAAAAAAAGAAAAGGAAAAAAGTCAGTCGGCCGAAAGAATCACAGCGAAAGAACATTTTTTCGCGGAGAGGATGAAACGGTCGAATATATCTTTATCGATCAGGATCTACAATTAATTTACGAGGATTACCAATTATATACAAAATCGGTCTATTATCTGTTTTCGATAATAACGTCGTCGTTATCGAACCGTTTCTTGTTCCTGCATTTATCCGACGATTCGCAATTATCTAGACGCAACATCGCGTTCCACTCGATTTCCAGATGCTTTTTCTTGGCAACGAACTTTCGCAAGACTGCCTCCTCGCGGATTCCCGATTCTTGGCAACCGACGATCCTCCTTTTTACGGCTTAAAAGTGTAGTACTTGGTGACCTCGGGCGGAAAAGCTGCGTCTTGGAAACGGGTTTATGCGCGTCCCTCGCCATTATCGCGCGATATTTCGCCTCCACTCTCTTTCTCTCTCACGCGGAGAGAGGGGATAAGAACGTGGGACGCTTTCTGCCAACGTCGAAGAAGCTTTCGCGATAAAGTGGGCGGCGTTGGCCAGACTCGCCCAAGGTTGCAGACGATCTCGTCTGTCAGGGTCCCTCCACTGTATTTAGCTTTCGATCGTGGACTTGGAGTCGCGCCCGTGCGCGCGCGTAAAAATACGACACCACCACTATCGTCGTTTCGTTCGCGAAATTCGACTCGAGCTTTTCAAAACCCCCCTCCCCTTCCCCTCTTTTTCTTCCTCCCCGCCCAGAGATTGTTGCTCGATTCGATTCTTGAAATAGATCATTGAGTCTAACGGAGAGACACGCTCGTTTCTCCAACTTTATTCGTAAACGAATTGTGCTTATACGCGATGTAACTTGTATTTGACAATTTTTCCCCAAAATATCCGCGTTTTTTCATCAACGATGAAAAGAACGGAATAATCGGACGATAAACAATCGAAAAGTGTGATTCTCGTTATCGCGGAAGATAGGATACATCCGAGTTATATTTTTAGCGATAGTTTCGAATTAAGAGATCCGCTCCCCGTTGAATCCTCGACGCGGATAAATCAGCTTCTCGAGTCGAGGAGAGGGAAGGCGTGTGAGGATTTAACGCGGCTCGTGCTTGCCCCTTACGTGTTTCTCCTTACGTGCACCTGAATCGAAACGCTTCTCGACGCATAAGAGGATCGTGAACGAGGATCGAATCGTTTCCAGAAGTGGCCCCTACACCGCAAGTGGACCGTTCGAAATTTCTAAAATTAGTCGAAGAGAGAGAGAGAGAGGAGGGAGCCGCGACGAGATGATCGCGGTATATTCGATTAATAACGAACGACACTCGAGACGAATCCTTGCCGAATAACGCTGTAACGAGCCAAGATAAATATCGAAAGCCGGGAATAAATGAACCGTCGTCGAATTAGAAATATCGAACGACAAAATTGTTAGCATTCCGTAAAAACGAATATTACGCAAGATAGCAAGATAATAATGCACGTTTCGTTGTGCGAAACGAAAGAATGTAGGAAAAAATTGGAACGTCGATCGTTCGAATATGGAACGAGTTGCTATTTTTTTTTCATTTGCTAATTTATTTTTTCCCTCAAATTAATTTTCCACCTCGCGACCTCTCTTTGAGGCTGGAAAATCCGCTTACGGACGAATCTCTCTCTAAAATCAATCCTCGAAGGACTCGACATTACGCTCGACGGCGTATCACGCGATTTCATTAAAAGAGAGAGAGAAAAAAAAAACGGAATTTTCGTTGATTTTTAACAACGCAACTTTTAATCGAGTTGGCCGTAACACGTACAACCGAGAACACGCTCCGTGGTGACAAATTTTTAACCTTCGTTCCTCGACCAATTTAAGCCCCGCCATTTTTCGAATAAAAGATTCACGATTCGCGGGGAAAACGTTCCGCCGATGAAACTTTTCCTTCCCCGACCGGGAAGGAAAGTTCAAACATTTGTCAATCGAGCCGCTCTCTCCGGCAGAAAAATTTCCCCGAATTCCAAGGTCCAATCCCCATCCTCCCCTCCCCTCCCATTTTTTTTTAACTTCTTTCCATCGTCGAGCGGAGACAGGAACGAGGAGGAGAGGTGGCGCGCGACTCGAACTCGAACGGTTAAAGGGCGCGAGAATTGTGCCCGCTGGCCGTTTCGAAATACAATGGAAATTAATTTGTCGAGCTTAACGAACCTCAGAGGGCACAAAGCAACCGAGGACCGCGGAATTGCTTTAATTATAACTCGGTCAGCTCGAGATTCACGGGGATTTCCGCGGG